AGACCTCATCTCAGTGGACAGCCCATTGCTAAGGACCACACCCTAGATTTGGAGGCCCACAGTGTACAGTGTTTTTTTGTGTTGTTTTTTTTTTAAGACAGAGTCTCACTCTGTCACCCAGATGCAATCATACCTCACTTCAGCTTCAACCTCCCAGGCTCAAGTCACCCTCCCACCTCAGCTTCCTGAGTAGCTGGGACCACAGGCATGCACCACCATGCCCAGCTAAGCCCGGCTAATTTTTTTCTTTTGCAGAGACGGGGGTTTCTCTGTGTTGGCCAGGCTGATCTTAAACTCCTGGGCTCAAGTGATCTGGAGCAGACTAGTTGAGTCTGCTCTTTTTTTTTTTTTTAATTTTTATTTATTTATTTATTTTTATTTTATTTTGTTTTTGTTTTTTTTGAGACAGAGTCTTGCTCTGTCGCCCAGGCTGGAGTGCAGTGGGGTGATCTCGGCTCACTGCAAGCTCCGCCTTCCAGGTTCACGCCATTCTCCTGCTTCAGCCTCCCGAGTAGCTGGGACTACAGGCGCCCGCCACCACGCCCGGCTAATTTATTTTTGTATTTTTAGTAGAGAAGTGATTTCACCGTGTTAACCAGGATGGTCTTGATCTCCTGACCTCGTGATCCGCCCGCCTCAGCCTCCCAAAGTGCTGGGATTACAGGCGTGAGCCACCGCTATTTATTTATTTTTTGAGACAGAGTCTCACTCTGTCGCCCAGGCTGGAATACAGTGGCACGATCTCGGCTCACTGCAACCTCTGCCTCCCGAGTTCGAGTGATTCTCCTGCCTCCCAAGTAGCTGAGACTACAGGCACTCGCCACTATGCCTGGCTAATTGTTGGGTTTGTTTTTTTTTTTTTTTTTTTTTTTGAGGCGGAGTGTAGCTCTGTCGCCCAGGCTGGAGTGCAGTGGCCGGATCTCAGCTCACTGCAAGCTCCGCCTCCCGGGTTCACGCCATTCTCCGGCCTCAGCCTCCCGAGTAGCTGGGACTACAGGTGCCCGCCACCTCGCCCGGCTAGTTTTTTGTATTTTTTAGTAGAGACGGGGTTTCACCGTGTTAACCAGGATGGTCTCGATCTCTTGACCTCGTGATCCGCCCGTCTCGGCCTCCCAAAGTGCTGGGATTACAGGCTTGAGCCACCGCGCCCGGCCGGGTTTTTTTTTTTTTTTAGTAGAGATGGGGTTTCCCCATATTGGCCAGGCTGGTCTCAAACTCCTGACCTCGTGTCATCTGCCTGCCTCAGCCACCCCAAGTGGTGGGATTACAGGAGTGAGTCACGGCGCCCCACTGTCCACTCTCTTAAATCACCTGTTGGTGACAGATGTTGACATCTGTCAACAAGATGTGAACTTGTTGACAAGAGCCTTGGGCCTCATTCCTCTCAACATGGGCTGTTAAGGGAGAGGAAATTCCCTAACCCCTGGGTCAAACGCCTTTCCCTACCATCTGCAAGTTTTGCTTGGAAGGAAGCCCCTGATCAGTAACAGTCCTCATCGCGGAGGAAGCACGTGCTTAGCAACAAGCCCGCAGAAGTGCTGACCCCCCTCTCTCCCCACCTCAGGGTTCCCAGTTTGTGGAGTGGGCCTCAGCAGGAAACCTCAAACCGGTGTGGGTGAACAGGGGCTGCCTGCGGGCCTGGGACCAGGAGGCCGAGGGGGCAGGCCCGGAGCTGGGGCTGCGATCGGCGCGGAGCAAGGCCCTGTGGCTGCCTATGGGGGACTGATGCCTGAGCGCCACCTGCTGCATTTTGGACACCTCAGACCAAGGGGAAACACAGCCCTGCAGACACCTGGGACTTTCCCCTTCTGTGGGGAATAAATAAAGTCTCCGACAAACCCTAGCTATGCTTCTGTGAGAAGAAAGGGTCTAGCAACTTGTGGCAGATGTGAGGCTTTTTTTTTTTTTTGAGACAAGTTCTGGCTCTGTCACCCAGGCTGGAGTGCAGTGGCACAATCTCAGTCCACTGCAGCCTCGACCTCTGGGGCTCAAGGGATCCTCATGCCTCGGTCTCACATGTAGCTGGGGCCACAGACATGCGCCACCACACCTGGCTCAAGGCCATTTTAGTTCTGAGGTTGAGGAGCTCAGGAGCTGGCGCCAGCACAATGCTGTGTTTGTGAAACAGAGAAAGGGGACCCCCGAGGACCCCAGACAGGGCCTTAGGACTCTCATATCTTCTTGTCTTCTCCATCTGGCAGCTCTTGCTCTCTGGTTTTCTCTGCCTTTTCATGGCCCCGGAATCCATACGCAGTAAAGGAGCTCTCTGGAATAAAATTAAAGTCCTCCTATATGACTTTTGTCAATTTCCATGATATAACTGCTCCCACCGTGCCGGATTTCAAGGTACAGGTGATTAAACAACTGGCTGAGAGATCCGGAATTAGTTTTTGTTGTTGTTGTTGTTGTTGTTGGGTTTTGTTTTGTTTTGTTTTGTTTTGTTTGTTTTTGAGACGGAGTCTTGCTCTGTCGCCCAGGCTGGAGTGCAGTGGCCCCATCTCAGCTCACTGCAAGCTCCACCTCCTGGGTTCACGCCATTCTCCTGCCTCAGCCTCCCGAGTAGCTGGGACTACAGGCATCTGCCACCACGCCCTTCTAATTTTTTGTACATTTAGTAGAGACGGGGTTTCACCGTGTTAACCAGGATGGTCTTGATCTCCTGACCTTGTGATCCGCCCACCTCGGCCTCCCAAAGTGCTGGGATTACAGGCGTGAGCCACTGCGCCCAGCCGAGATCCAAAATTGTTAACAGGTCAGCTCCCTTGAGCCAATATGAGCCGCTTCAGCACACCACCGCCTTAGGAATCTGGTTGTGGGTGGGTTTCTTTGGTTTGTTTTTTGTTTTTGAGACAAGAGTCTCTCTCTGTCGCCCAGGCTGGAGTGCAGTGGCACCATCTTGGCTCACTGCAACCTCCACCTCCTGGGTTCAAGCGATTCTCCTGCCTCAGCCTCCAGAGTAGCTGGGATTACAGGCTTGCCCACCACACCCAGCTAATTTTTTGTATTTTTAGTAGAGACGGGGTTTCACCATGTTGGCCAGGCTGGTTTCAAACTCCTGACCTCAAGCGGTCCGCCTGTCTCAGTCTCCCAAAGCGCTAGGATTACAGGCTTAAGCCACTGCACACGGCTGTTGATTTTTTTAAATAAAGGATCTTGCTCTGTTTTTCAGGCTGTAGTACAGTGGGGCAGTCACAGCTCACTGCACCCTCGGCCTGGGCTCAATCCTCCCACCTCAGCCTCCTGAGTAGCTCAGACCACAGACACGCACCACCATGCCTGGCTAATTTTTTTTTTTTTTTTTTTAATAGGTCTACCTATGTTGCCCAGGCTTGTCTTGAACTCCTGGCCTCAAGCGATCCTCTCACCTCAGCCTTTCAAAGTGTGGGACTACAGGCATCAGCCACCACACCTGAAGTAGAAAATTTTTTTGATGTAAGAAACCCACTCTTACTAGTTTAAGATAAAAGGGGAGTTTTCAGAGGCCAGGCTCGGTGACTCAAGCCTGTAATCCCAACACTTTGGGAGGCCGAAGTGGGCGGATAACCTGAGGTCAGGAGTTTGAGAGCAGTCTGGCCAACATAGTGAAACCCTGTCTGTATTAAAAATACAAAAATTAGCTGGGTGTGGTGGCGGGCACCTGTAATCCCAGTTACTCAGGAGGCTGAGGCAGGAGAATCACTCGAACCCAGGAGGCAGAGGTTGCAGTGAGCCGAGATCACACCACTTCACTCTAGCCTGGGCAACAGAGCAAGACTCCAAAAAAAAAAAAAAAAAAAAAAGGGGGGGGTTTTCCAAACTGGGCGTGGCAGTTCACACCTGTAATCCCAGCACTTTGGGAGGCTGAGGCAGGTGGATCACTTGAGGTCAGAAATTCGAGACCAGCCTGGGCAACATGGTGAAATCCCGTCTCTACTAAAATTATAAAAATTAGCCAGGCATGGTGGCAGCACCTGAAATCCCAGCTATTTGGGAGGTGGAGGCAGGAGAATCTCTTGAACCCAGGAGGCAGAGGCAGAGCTTGCAGTGAGCCAAGATCGTGCCATTGCACTCCAGCCTGGGCAACACAGCGAGACTCGGTCTCAAAAAAAGAAAAAAAAGAAGGGAGAGAGAGGAGTCTTCAGGAAGGCCACAGAGATTCCCTAGAGGTGGTAGGGCAGTAGGGCAGGACATACATTGAGGGGCCCCAGGACTTGGTCAGGAAGGAGCTACAGCAGGTCCTTTGTCCATGGGCCACATGAGCTGTTGGGGCTTGTATCTCTGCCTCTCTTTCTAGCCAGATGGAAGGTCTGACCATTCGGTGCCACAAGGCAGCTAACCCAGGCTGAACAGGAAGTGAGGCAGGCAGAGGGATCAGGGAAGGGAAATGGATGGTGAAGGCCATGATGGGCGAGGCTTTGCTGCAATAACACACAACCCCCAAATCTGCGTGGGCCACAACCACAACTTTAGTTTGTTGCTTACACTCCCTGCGCTCATCCAGAGCTGGCAGGATCCCTGTACTCCTCTGAGTGGCACAGGAAACTTGGCTGATGGAGGCGCTCTCTCCACGCATCCTCCACCATCCATTCCCCAGACCCTTAGACTTCCATCTAGGAGTGACACCTGTCACCTCCACCTTCATGTGATTGGCCAAAGTGAGTGTGGCCATGTCCGAGTTCCCCAGGATGGGGCCTCGGATCCTCCTGCAGGGAAGAGGGGCCAGCAGATGTTTGAGGACAGTCTGCCACGGATCGGATGGGTAAGCAAAAGATTCAGGCCAGGTGTGGTGGCTCACACCTGTAATCCCAGCACATTGGGAGGCCAAGGCAGGCAGATTACCTGAGGTCAGGAGTTCAAGATCAGCCTGGCCAATATGGTGAAACCTCGTCTCTACTAAAAATACAAAAATTAGCTGGGCGTGATGGCACGCACCTGTAATTCCAGCTACTCAGGAGGCTGAGGCACAAGAATCGCTTGAACCCGGGAGGTGGACGTAGCAGTGAGAGGAGATTGTGCCACTGCCCTCCAGCCTGGGCAACAGAGAGAGACCCCCTCTCAAAAAACAAACAAACAAACAAACAAAAAAACTTCAGAGATTCAGAGGTCCACAGATGTGGAAGAGAGCTTCTATTTTGTCTCATTTGCCACCTCACCCCTCAGTTTGGAGTTGGAGAAACCGAGGCTTAGAGAGGTCAACGGGCTGGCCAAGCTCCCACAATGATAAAGCTAGGGCTAGGGCGACACCTGCCAGGCCCAATGTGACAAGATGCATCCTGAGTCCTGTGTGCCAAGCCTTGGTGGGGCAAAGTTGGGGCCCAGAGGACGTAAGACACAGCAACTCCTAGTTCCCAGAGACAGATCCGGGTTCCAGCCCCAGCTCACCATGCACTGGGCGTGCCACCCAGGGAGTCAACCCCACTGCAGCCCCCGCCGCGGGGCGTCCAGGGAACCCACCATCTGCGGCGTGAGCGGCCGCCTCTCACCACCAGGGAGCGCGCTCCGCCTGGGCCCAGATTCCACCCCTTGACTGTCTCCCCCCAAAATTTTCCTTTCACTTTCGGTCTCTGGCTGTCACCCGGCTTGGCCCCTTCCACACCCAGCTGGGGCAAGCCTGGTGCGTGAGGAGACTTGGACTCTAGGTCCCCAAGGGGTGGAGCCAGGGTCCCCACTCCTGGGACAGGGGGAGCAGAGGGTGGGGGGCTGGGTTCCCGGGTCCCTAACCTGGGGAGGGTTCTGGGGACCCGACATCGGGGTTCTTGGAAGTGGAGATGAAGAGTTTTCACCGTAACTGGGGCCGACGCAGGAAGCCTGGGGGAGGAAGGGGCGGAAACTCAGCCACATCAAAGGGATGCGGGAGGGGCGGGGAAGCAAAGGGGCGGGCGGGACAGGGGCTGGGGCATGGGGGTCCGAGACTTGTTGTTCTGTCCCTTCCAAGACCCGGCCACAGGAGGCATGAGGGGCCCCCGGCCGAGATGACAGTGCTGGCGCCAGCCTGGAGCCCAACAGTGCGTAAACCATAGGGACAAGGTCAGGGGAGAGGGGAGGCACAATGTCAGGATGGGGCAGAGGTTGGGGGAGATGGAGGGGAGGATAGATAGAGGAGGGGGAAATACGAGGGGAGATGGATAGATGTGAGGGGAGATGGATAGGAGAGGAGATGGACAGAGGAGGGAGAGATGGACAGAGGAGCGGGAGATGGACAGGAGGGGGAGATGGACAGAGGAGGGGGAAATAGACAGGAGGGAGCTGGACAGGAGGGGGAGACAGACAGAGGATGAGGAGATGGACAGAGGAGGGGGAGATGGACAGGAGAGGAGATGGACAGGAGAGGAGATGGACAGGAGGGGGTATGGACAGAGGAGGGGGAGATGGACAGAGGAGAGGGAGATGAAAAGGAGAGGGAGGTAGACAGGAGGAGGGAGATGGACAGAGGAGGGGGAGATGGACAGAGGAGGGGGAGATGGACAGAGGAGGAGGGGGATGAAAAGGGAGAGGGAGGTAGACAGGAGAGGGAGATGGACAGAGGAGGGGAGATGGACAGGAGGGGGAGATGGACAGAGGAGCGGGAGATGGACAGGAGGGGGAGATGGACAGAGGAGGGGGGTGCATGGACAGTAGTGACGGAGATGGACAGAGAGGAGAGGGAGATGAAAAGGAGGAGGTGGACAGGAGGAGGGGAGAGCTGGACAGAGGAGGGGGATGGACAGAGGAGGGGGAGACAGGACAGAGAGGGGGAGATGGATTGTAGGAGAGGGGGAGATGGACAGATGGGGAGGGGGACAGAGGAGGGGGAGATGGACAGGAGGGGGTATGGACAGGAGGGACAGGGAGATGGACAGAGGGTGGGAGATGGACAGAGGAGGGGGAGATGGACAGAGGAGGGGGAGATGGACAGAGAAGAGGGGAGATGGACAGAGAAGAGGGGAGAGGGGAGGTGGACAGAGCCAAGAACGAATGAAGAGGCCGTGGACCAAGATCAAGAGAGAAGCAGGCAACAGGGGTGTAGAAGGCAGAGGGAGGAACAGGACTGGAGGAACCCGGGTGAGGAAAGCAGACGTGAGGAAGAGGTGGTTGGAGAGAGACGGCAGAGTGGGGGAGATGGGGAGAGAGAGGGGTGGGGCAGAGGAGGATGCAAACTGGACGGCGTTGGACCAGAGGCAGAGAGAAACGGGGAAAGACGAGTAGAGATGGGGCCACGTCCCCAGAAAGTGTGGAAGAGGCGGAAGGACACCTGCGGAAGGAGGAGCGGGGAAGACAGAACAGTGCAGGTGGGAAGCCCGGAGGAGGGGGCTGTGTGTGGAACAGCGGAGGGCTCCCCTAGCGCCCCCTCCCCTGCAGACCTGTCTCCTCCTGCTGCTGCTGCTGAGTTCGGGACTCAGTGAGACCCAGGACTGCTCCTTCCAACACAGCCCCATCTCCTCCGACTTCGCTGTCAAAATCCGCGAGCTGGTAAGAGGCGCTAACCCGGACCCCCTCACGTGATCCCCCTCCCTTTTTTTTTTTTTTTTTTTTTTTTAAAGTAGAGACGGGGTCTCTGTCCCTGTGTTGCCCAGGGTGGTCTTGAACTCCTGGGCTCAAGCGATCCTCCCACCTTGGCCTCCCAAAATGCTGGAATGACAGCCGTGAGCCACTGTGCTTAGGGGTATCCTCCCTCTGTGAAGTCAAAGTTGTGACTTCTTCTGGGTTCCCCTCTCTGGCTCTTTTCCCTCTCTCTCCGGATCTCTGCTGCCTCCTCTGGGTCTCCACAGTTCTGTTTCCCGCTGTCTTCAGCCAGGCCTGACTCTGTTTTCTCCCGCATGCAGTCTGACTACCTGCTTCAAGATTACCCGGTCACCGTGCCCTCCAACCTGCAGGACGTGAGTCATGTTGGGAGGGACCTGGGATGGAGGTGGGGACCACAGACTCAAGATGCCCCACCCAAGCGAGTGGATAACCTGGCCCTCCCCTCCCCAAACCCAGGAATCAGAGTCCCCAGCCCCTCCTTCCTCAGACCCAGGAACCCCGGCCCAGCCCCTCCTCCCTCCGGCCCAGCCCCTCCTCCCTCAGACCCGGGGGTTCTCCCCACTAGGAGGAGCTCTGCGGGGCCCTCTGGCGGCTGGTCCTGGCACAGCGCTGGATGGAGCGGCTCAAGACTGTGGCTGGGTCCAAGATGCAAGGCTTGCTGGAGCGCGTGAACACGGAGATACACTTTGTCACCAAATGTGCCTTTCAGGTCAGCCCTCAACTTAGGGGACAAGTGAGGGGAGGGAGATGCCTTCCTACGCATTAGAAGTAAAGCTCCGCTAGGCCTTATTGGCGATTTATTTGGACCACAGCCACCCAAGGAAGGTAGAGCGAGAAGCTCTACCCGGAGGAGCTCTGTTCCTGCAGAACAAACACGTCCCCAGGCACTGGTGATGGGGAGCAGTCTGGTCCCATTCTGGGGCCCTGGTTTCCTAGGCCATGATGAAGGGTGCCACTGAGGGGTTCTTGCCCCCAAAAAAATAGGGGGAGAAGAGGTCTCTAAAGTGAGGAGGCCGCACGCGGTGGCTCACTCCTGTAATCCCAGAGCTTTAGGAGGTTGAGGTGGGCGGATCACTTTAGGTCAGGAGTTCGAGACTAGCCTGGCCAACATGATGAACCCCAACTGTACTAAAAATACAAAAATTAGCCGGGCATGGTGGCTTGGGAATCGCTTGAACCCGGGAGCCAGAGGCTGCAGTGAGCCGAGATCATGCCACTGCACTCCAGCCTGGGAGACAGAGTGACACTGTCTCAAAAACAAAACAAACAAACAAAAACCTCTATCTGAGGGCTGGGTGCAGTGGCTCACACCTGTAATCCCAGCACTTTCGGAGGCCAAGGTAGGAGGACTGCTTGAGCCCAGGTGTTCAAGACCAGCCCAGGTAACACAGTGAAACCTCATCTCTGCACAAAAATAAAAATAAATTAGCCAGGCATGGTGGTGCCCACCTGTGGTCCCAGCTACTCAGAAGGCTGAGGTGGGAGGATCACTTGAGCCCTGGATTTCAAAGCTGCAGTGAACTATGACTGGGCCAAGCACTCCAGCTTGGGTGACAGAGCAAGACCCTGTCTCAAAACATAAAATAGGCCGGGTGCAGTGGCTCACGGCTGTAATCCCAGCACTTTGGGAGGCTGAGACAGGCAGATTGCCTGAGCTCAGGAGTTCAAGACCAGCCTGGGCAACACGATGAAACGCCATCTCTACTAAAATACAAAAAAAAAAAAAAAAATTAGCCGGGCATGGTGGCAGGCACCTGTAGTCCCAGCTACTCGGGAGATTGAGGCAGGAGAATTGCTTGAACCCAGGAGGTGGAGGTTGCAGTGAGCCAAGATCACACCACTGCACTCCAGCCTGGGCGACAGAGCAAGACTCCGTCTCCAAAAAAATTAAAAATAAAAGGCCAGGCGCAGTGGCTCACACCTGTAATCCCAGCACTTTGGGAGCCCAAGGCGGGCAGATCACAAGGTCAGGAGTTTGAGACCAGCCTGGTCAATGTGGTGAAACCCCATCTCTACTAAAAATACAAAAGTTAGCCAGGCGTGGTAGTGTGCACCTGTAATTCCAGCTACTCGGGAGGCTGAGGCAGAAGAATTCCTTGAACCCGGGAGGTGGAGGTTGCATGAGCCAAGATCATGCCACTGCACTGCACACCAGCCTGGGTGACAGAGCGAGACTCCATCTCAAAACAAAAAATAAAATAATAAACTAAAATAACTTTGGGAGGCCAAGGCGGGCGGATCAGCTGAGGTCAGGAGTTCGAGACCAGCCTGACGAACATAGAGAAACCCCATTTCTACTAAAAAATATAAATAAATAAATAAATAAATAAATAAATATGGCCAGGTGCGGTGGCTCACACCTATAATGCCAGCACTTTGGGAGGCCAAGGTGGGCAGATCACCTGAGGTCAGGAGTTCGAGACCAGCCTGGCCAACATGGAGAAACCCCGTCTCTACTAAAAATACAAAAAGTAGCCAGACATGGTGGTGGGCACCTATAGTCCCAAGCACTGGGGAGGTTGGGGCAGGATAATCACTTGAACCGGGGAGGCAGAGGTTGCATTTCACCACTCCAGCCTGGGCAACACAGCGAGACTCTATCTCAAAAAAATAAAAAATAAATAAAATAAAATAAATAAACTCTCTCTGAGAGCCAGAGCTCACTGGGCCCTGCCGTGTTGCTGGGCATAGTCAGCAGGGAAGGGCCTTTGGCCTGCGGAGGGGTGGTGAGGGGAATGACGCGGTGGTGACGTCTCCCTCCCCTGCTCCCAGCCCCCCCCCAGCTGTCTTCGCTTCGTCCAGACCAACATCTCCCGCCTCCTGCAGGAGACCTCCGAGCAGCTGGTGGCTCTGAAGCCCTGGATCACTCGCCAGAACTTCTCCCGGTGCCTGGAGCTGCAGTGTCAGCCTGGTAAAGGCTTCCAGCCACTCCCACTCCTTCCCCTCCTGTCCTCACGGCCGCTCCTCCTCTCTGCGCAGTGCGTCCCAGACCCCACCCTGCTCATATTGGTTGTGACAAGGGCAAGTTTATTCCTCAGTTTACTTTTTCTTTTTTTTCTGAGTCGTCTTGCTCTGTAGCCCAGGCTGGTGTGCAGTGGTGCAATCTCGGCTCACTGCAACCTCCATCTCCAGGGTTCAAGCGAATCTTCTGCCTCAGCTTTCCGAGTACCTGGGATTATAGGTGCGCATACCATGCCTGGCTAATTTTTGTGTTTTTAGTAGAGATGGGTTTTCACCATGTTGGCCAGGCTGGTTTCGAACTCCTGACCTCAAGAGATCCGTCCACCTTGGCCTCCCAAAGTGCTGCGATTACAGGCATGAGCCACTGCGCTTAGCCTATTCGCTCATCTAATTTGTGACAATCTGATGAGGTAGGTACAATGATTATCGTAGTTTTACAGATGAGCAAACTGAGGCACAGAGAGGCCAAGCAGCCCATCCAAGGTCACACAGTCAGTGGCAGCCAGGCCTCTCTTTCCTTCCTTACCCCAGCCCTTCTCCTTGGTCACCCAGCCTCCTCTTTCTCCCCAGACTCCTCAACCCTGCCACCCCCACGGAGTCCTGGGGCCCTGGAGGCCACAGCCCCGACAGCCCCGCAGCCTCCTCTGCTCCTCCTGCTGCTGCTGCTGCCTGTGGGCCTCCTGCTGCTGGCCGCTGCCTGGTGCCTGCACTGGCAGAGGACGCGGCGGAGGACACCCCGCCCTGGGGAGCAGGTGAGCAGGGTGGGCAGAGGGGGTGAGGGGGCCGAGAGGGTGACCCACTTGTGGCTGACACTTTGGGGCCCACAGGTGCCCCCTGTCCCCAGTCCCCAGGACCTGCTGCTTGTGGAGCACTGACCTGGCTGGGGCCTCATCCTGGTGAGTCCTTCATGAGCCATGGGGCCTGGATTTTGTGTCTGCAGGTGGGGAGGGGCACTAGGAGGCCATGGAAGGGTGGTGAGTAGTGGAGGGGCAGGGGCAGCTCTGGGTACAGAAAGACCCCTCTGGGATCAGGCATGGTGGCTCACGCCTATAATCCCAGCACTTTGGGAGGCTGAGGCAGGTGAATCACTTGAGGTCAGGAGTTCAAGACCAGCCTGGCCAAATAGCAAAACCAGTCTCTACTAAAAATACAAAAATTAGCTGAGCGTAGTGGTGTGTGCCTGTAATCCCAGCTACTAGGGAGGCTGAGGCAGGAGAATTGCTTGAACCCAGGAGGCGGAGGTTTCAGTGAGCCGAGATTATTCCACTGGACTCCAGCCTGGGTGATAGAGCTAGACTCCATTTCGAGAAGAGAAGAGAAGAGAAGGGGAGGGGAGGGGAGGGGAGAGGAGGGGAGGGCAGGGGAGGGGAGGGCAGGGCAGGGGACGCAAAGCCCTATGGGGCCACAGACACAGACCTGGAGACCAAGCTGGAGGCTGTGGGAGGACCCAGGGCAAGGACCATGACTGAGCCAGGGCTGGGACCATGGGATGGAGTGGAGTGGATGGGCAGCGAGTCAGGGGTCAGAGATCAGGAGGGACAGGCTTGGGGCCTGACAGGCTTGAGTTGGCACAGATCGCCCTGGTCCAGCGATGGGGTGGACAGGGGAGAACCTGGGGGAGGAGTGAGATTAGGGAAAGACATGGAGCTCACTGGGGACCTGAAGGAGCAAGGGTCCCTGGGGAGATCTGTGGATGCAGGAGTTTGCAAGCCTCCTGGGGCAGGAAGGAAATGGCATTCCAGAAAGAGGGAACTGCCTTTGTGAAGCCCGTTGGTATGAGAAAGCTCAGGGTGTTCCAGTAACTTGGGCCAATGTGGTGCAGCAAGGAGCCATGGGAGGTGTGAGAGGGAGGAAAGGAGCTGGGAACAGGTGTGGAGGGTGCAGGCAGGTGGGCCAGGAGGGAAGAAAGAGGGGAGGCCTCAGCGGGTCCCCTAACATTTCAAATCTAACATTTTGTAGTAATTGCTCACACATATACTGCCTTAGTAATGCAGGCCTCATGTGGGGCTTTCTTCCTTTTTTTATTTTTTATTTTTTTGAGATGGACTTTCACTCTGTCACCCAGGCTAGAGTGCAGTGGCGCGATCTCAGCTCACTGCAGCCTCCGCCTCCCGGGTTCAAGCGATTCTCCTGCCTCAGCCTCTGGAGTAGCTGGGATTACAGGTATCCACAACCACGCTTGGCTAATTTTTGTGTTTGTAGTAGAGACGGGGTTTCACCATGTTGGCCAGGCTGGTCTCAAACGCCTGATCTCAGCTGATCCACCCGCCTCAGCCTCCCAAAGTGCTGGGATTACAGGCATGAGCCACCACGCCCCGCCTCCAGGTTGTCTTGATCCAGCATCTGTGCCCTTCACTCTGCTGCCTCAGTTTCCTGATCTGTACAAAACGCTCTAATAATTGTCCTTCTACCATAGGGTTGTCATGAGGTTAAGTGAAGTGACACAGGCAAGGCTTTTAGAGCAATGCAGTGGAAACAGCACGTGGGCCACCTGTGCGATTTTCACTTTCCTAGTAGCCACATTTTTTTTTTTTTTTTCTGAGACGGAGTCTCCCTCTGTCGCCAGGCTGGAGTCCAGTGGTGCAATCTCAACTCACTGCAACCTCCATCTCCCGGGTTCAAGTGATTCTCCTGCTTCAGCCTCCCGAGTAGCTGGGATTACAGGCACCCGCCATCACACCCGGCTAATTTTTTGTATTTTTAAGAGACGGGGCTTCACCATGTTGGCCAGGAGTCTCGAACTCCTGACCTCGTGATCCACCTGCCTCGGCCTCCCAAAGTGCTGGGATTACAGGCGTGAGCCACCACGTCCAGCCTCACAGTTTTTTAAAAAAGGAAAAAGAAGCAAGTAACTTTATTTTATGCAGTATATCCAAAATATTGTCATTTCAACATGTAATCAATATTTTTCAATGATTAATTAGACATTAATAATTTTGAATCATTCATCATTTTGAATATTTTACATTCTTTTGTCATACTAAGCCTTCAGCATCCAATGTATACTTTTTCTTTTTCTTTTGAGATGGATTCTCGCTCTGTCACCCAGGCTGGAGTGCAGTGGCGCGATCTCAGCTCACGGCAACTTCTGACTCCCGGGCTCAGGCGATTCTCCTGCCTCAGCCTCCCAATTACCTGGGATTACAGGCATGCACCACCACACCCGGCTAATTTTTGTACTTTTAGTAGAGACGGGGTTTCACCACCTTGTCCAGGACGGTCTCCATCTCCTGACCTCGCGTTCCACCCACCTCAAAGTGCTGGGATTACAAGTGTGAGCCACCGTGCCAGGCTCAGACAATAAATTTTTATCAGAAACACTTCATCTATATTTAAATTTCATGAAATTTACAGTTGCCAAAAGTAGATTCACATAGTCAAGTTGTTCAAAACATACATTAAACCAGCCTGGGCAACATAGCGAAGCCCCATCTCTACAAAAAAATTTTTTTAAGTAGCTGGCTGTGGTGGCACATGCCTGTAGTCCCAGCTACTCAGGAGGCAAGGTAGGAGGATCCCTTGAGCCCAGGAGGTCGATGCTGCAGTAAGCTATGATTGTGCCACTGCACTCCAGCCTGAGTGAGAGAGCAAGACCCTGTCTCAAAAACAAAAAACAAAAACCACACAGAAGAGTTTAGAATCTCAGTTGCTATCTCTGGGAATCACCATGATTGCTAAGACCCGTATCTATCCACCAAAAAAAAAAAAAATGAGTGCACTCCAGCCTGGGCAATAGAAGGAGACACCCTGTCACAAAAAAAGACAAGAGAGAAAGAAAGAAAAAAGAGAAACATACATAAGTTTTCCAATAACTGTTAACAGATCAAGGACCAGTATCTGAATCGCTCTGTCACCTAGGCTGGAGTGCAGTGGCATGATCTCAGCTCACTACAACCTCCTCCTCCCGGGTTCAAGTGATTCTCCTGCCTCAGCCTCCCGAGTAGCTGGGACTACAGGCTCGTGCCACCATGCCCAGCTAATTTTTGTATTTTTAGTAGAGGTGGGGTTTCACCATGTTTCACCATGTTTGCCATGATGGTCTCAATCTCTTGACCTCGTGATCTGCCTGCCTCAGCCTCCCAAAGTGCTGGGATTACAGGAGTGAGCTACCGCGCCCGACTAATACCTGATATTAATTTTATTGTGTCTCACCCAGCATGGTGGCTGTCCTTGGCAGATCACTTGAGCCTAAGAGTTCAAGACCAGCTTGGGCAACATGGTGAAACCCCATCTCTACTAAAAATATAAAAATTAGCTGGGTGTGGTAGCACCACCAGTAATCCCAGCTAACTCAGGAGGCTGAGGCAGGAAGAATCGCTTGAACCCGGGAGGCGGAGGCTGCAGTGAGCCGAGATCGTGCCACTGCACTCCAGCCTAGGTGACAGAGCGAGACTGTCTCAAAAGAAGTTTAAGTCCAGCCTCGAACTCCTGGACTCAAGTGATCCTCCTGCCTCAACCTCCTGAGTAGTGTACTGGCCGCATCTCAAGTGTTCAGTATTCACATGTGGCTGGTTATTCCCGTATTAAAGAGCAAAAATAGAGAACATTTCTTTTTCTTTTTCTTTCTTTTTTTTTTTTTTGAGACAGGAGTTTCACTTTTGTTGCCCAGGCTGGAGTGCAATGGCGCGATCTCGACTCACTGCAACCTTCACCTCCCAGGTTCAAGCGATTCTCCTGCCTCAGCTAATTTTGTAATTTTAGTAGAAATGGGGTTTCTCCATGTTGGTCAGGCTGGTCTCGAACTCCCGACCTCGGGTGATCCACCCGCCTCAACCTCCCCAAGTGCTGGCATTACAGGTGTGAGCCACCCATGCCTGGCCCTAATTTTGTATTTTTAGTAGAGATGAGGTTTCTCCATGTTGGTCAGGCTAGTCTCAAACTCCCAACCTCAGGTGATCCACCCACCTCGGCCTCTCAAAGTGCTGGGATTATAGGTGTGAGCCACCGTGCCCAGGCAAAAATAGAGAACATTTCTTCTTTGAGATGGAGTCTCTGCCACCCAGGCTGGAATACAGTGGCGCGCGATCTCGGTTCACTGCAACCTCCGCCTCCCAGGTTCAAGCGATTCTCCTGCCTCAGCTTCCCGAGTAGCTGGGACAACAGGCGCCTGCCACCACGCCCGGCTAATTTTTTTTAGTAGAGACGGGGTTTGGGGTTTCACCGCGTTAGCCAGGATGATCTCGATCTCCTGACCTCTTGATCTGCCTGCCTTGGCCTCCCAAAGTGCTGGGATTACAGGCGTGAGCCACCGTGCCCATCCGAGAACATTTCTGTCATGGCCACGTTCTCTTGGACAGCAATGCCCTAGCACACAGTAAGCGCTTGCTGGGAATGGTGGTGTTTTGGGAATAATCTGTGCCCCGCCCTGAGCTAAGTTTCTTTCCGTCTCCTCTGTCAGCGGATCCTAAACAACCCAGTGAGACAGACACATCTATCATCCCATTTTACAGGGGAGGACACTGAGGTACACAGAGGGGAGTCACTAGCCAGAGGATGCACAGCCGGCACACAGAGGAAGTGGGCTAGAGGCTGGTCCCTTCCTTGGGCCCAATACCCCTCTCATTCCCTCCCCAGGATGGAGGCAACGCCAGAACGCAGCACCGGCCCCCCTTACCCAATTCTGTACAAAGCCCTTGTCCCCATGAAATTGTATATAAATCATCCTTTTCTACCAGCTCTGGCCAAGTCTGTCTGTGGATGGGTGTGAATGGGGTCGTTCTGATTTCAGAATCTTGGTTTTTCAGTTGCAATGCAATGTTTCATTCAATACGTGTTTTCTGAGGTCCCCTGGAGCCCCGGGCCAGCACTGGGCAATGCCAGAGTCCGGATGTGAGTCAGAACCAGCCCAGTCGCCCCAGGTCTCCTAGGCTATGGACGAGAAGACAAGGGACTCAGCGAGCCTGGGTGCAGGATGCCATAGGCTCCTATGGAGATAGCACAGAGGCAGTGTGAGAGCCCGCGGAGGGCAGCTCACCCAGGTTGGAGGCTTTCCAGAGCCAAAGGGCATTGCGATGGTGACAAGCCAGATTTGGAGGGGTTGGGGAGGGCATCCTGGGCAAGGGACCCAACTGAAGCAAAGGCCGACAGTCCAGAAAGTGAGAAGTTCCTCTGAGGAATGCTCAGCGGATTAGTGCAGCCAGGCATCTAGAAGCCATTCCTTCATCCACTCTTAGAGCCCCTGGAGAAGACCACCTCCACCTGTTTTACAGAAGGAGAAACTGATGCCCGGATAAGGCCAGGGGTTTGTCCAGGTCAGAGTGAAGTCGACCAGACACAAGAATCCAAATCTCCAAGCCTAGAATGGGCAGGACGCCGGGGCTCACGCCGCTAATCCCAGCACTTTGGGAGGCTGAAACGGGAGGATCGCTTGAGCCCAGGAATTCGAGACCAGCCTGGCCAAACATGTCAAGACTCCCCGCAAGCCCGGGCCACAACAACAACAACAACAAAAATAAATAAATATATATATATCCCTTGAGCCCGGGAAGTCGAGGCTGCGGTGAGCCAGGATCGCCCCACTGCACTCCGGCCTGGACGACAGAGCGACATCCTGTCTCAGAAAATAAAGTAAGCCTGAACTGAGCGCGGAAGGGCGGGCCTGGCGGGTCTGGTCTCCCCCTGCGGGCCACCAGAAGTCCTGCAGCCTTCAGTCGCTTGAAAGGGTAATGCCGCTTCCCCTCACAAACATGGCGGACAGGGCGTCTGAACGAGATGAACAGCCTCTCAAAAACATGGCCGCCGAGGCTGGACGGCAGCGCCCCAGCAGCACCGCCTCCACGCCCCACGTGATCTCTCGCAGGGCACAGAGCGAACTGCGGAGGGTCCAACCGGAAGAATGTCCGGATTGGACATTCGGAAGAGGACCCGCCTTCCCTGGGGAATCTCTGCGCACGCGCAGAACGCTTTGACCAATGAAAACACAGAAAGCTGTTCGCGCAGTCCGCGTTGCGTCACTTCTGCCGCCCCTGTTTCAAGGGATAAGAAACCCTGCGACAAGACCTCCTCCTTTCCCAGGCGGTTGCCGAAGATGGCGGAGGTGCAGGTGCGGGCTCCGCGCGGGCCGGGGCGGCACGGGGTCGCACGGGGCCGCACGGGGCCGGGTGGGATCCAGGCCGGAATGGGGTCGCACCCTCTCTGTCCTCCTGCATGTTTTGTGGAGCTTAACGTCCACAATTAAGCAAAATGGAAGTCTTTTGGGATAAGGGGCATCTGTAGGAAATGCCGCGGCTCTCATTAGGCCTAGGGTTGGCTACAATGCGGCATTTCCTTCTCGAGGTGAGGGTGACGGAGCTTTCAGGACAGGACAGGTATTTTACAACTAGACTTCGCTTACCTTGAACTCGGGTAGTGGCTGGGGTCCCTGGGGTCGAGTCTTGACCGAATTGGACCTTTGTGTGCCCTCAGCGATGAGGAACGCGCGGAAGTGTGACCGGGCGGTGTCGGGGCAATGAGTTTTGGCCAAAATGGAAGGTATTTTCATCCCGCCCAGTGCGCGGGCTACTTTGATCTCACGTGGAGGTGTTAATCGGGGTCTCCTGGCGCTCCGGTTGTTTCAATTCTCAATGCCTTTCTGCGGGGGGTCGAGAGAGCTGTTGGCTGCCGGATACTCAGGAATGAACTCGTTTTCCCTGGTTTTGGGGATTGACGATTGTCCTGAGGCGTGTTACTGGAACTCGAGAGCTGTGATGAATGTTTCCACAAGGTTGGAACATCTTTAGGGCTTGCACACACCTAGGGGCCCTTTCCCTGGCTCCTGGTGTAGCTACTTAAGTATAAAGAAGGGGTTGGCCCTGGAAAGGTTTTTTGTCTGTGGTTAGGGCGGGGGCGGACATTGCAGAGCCAGGCCAATTTAGGCAGGTTGTGTTCACCAAGCATGTGTCTTTGTGCCCAGCATAGTTTGCAATGATTTGCGTAGTTCGCCTGACGATATTCTCGAGGTAGATAGGGTATCCTCCTTTTACAGAGGAGGAAATTAAAGCTTGGTGATTGGTGATTTTTGGCCAAGGTCACGACTTCAGGAAGTCTGTTTGGATTTAGATTCTTTGTACCAACGCTTACAAAGCCTGTGTAATAACAAGTGTGTGCTTCATGCTTTTGCATTAAAACAATGAGGATTTCTACTCTTTTAGTTATTTTCTGAGACGGAGTCTCACTGTGACGCCCAGGCTGGAGTGGAATGGTGTGATCTTGGGATCATTGCAACCTCTGCTTCCTGAGTTCAAGTGATTCTCCTGCCTCAGCCTCCCGAGTAGCTGGGACTGCAGGGGCCCGCCACGATGCTCAGCTGATTTTTGTGGTTTTAGTAGAGACAGGGTTTCACCCTATTCGCCAGGATGGTCTCGAACTCCTGACCTCAAGTGATCTGCCCGCCTAGGCCTCTCAAAATGCTGGGATTACAGGCGTGAGCCCCCGCGCCCGGCCAGGATTTCTGCTCTGGAGGAAGCTGAGGTTTGGTATCTGAGCAGTTTACCCGGGAAAGAGAGTGACTCTATAGCAGAGCTAGCATGGACTTTTGACTACCTAATCTCATCGCACCTGAAATTCGGTTTTCTTCCAATTTAAATTCGTGGTAGGAAGACCCTATACCTTAGAAGAGAATTAGATTGTGTTATCCTACAATTGATTGGCCACGGTGGCTCAAGCCTGTAACCCCAGCATTTTGGAAGGCTGAGGCAGGCGGATCACTTGAGCCAGGAGTACAAGAGCAGCCTAGGCAACGTAACAAAACCCTGACTCAACAAAAGTACAAAAATTTGCTGCGTGTGGTGGTGTGTGCCTGTAGTCCCAGCTACTCATGAGGCCCAGGTGGGAGGATGGATCCTGGGAGGTCGACAGCCTGGGCAACAGCAAGACCCTGTCTCAAAAACAAATCCTACAGTTTATTAGCTTCAAGGTCTTGTAACTGGATAGTCAGGGGGCAGAGCCTTGCTGGTCTTCATTCAAATCCTGTTGCTTTGCAAAATGCAATCTGAGTGTAAAATCATACTCATAGAAGAAGTGAGATATGAGGGGGTTCAGGCCCCTTACACTGTTCACTCACTGATCCTGAGGCAGCCTTGCTTTCTCAGCCCGTTCCCTCATCGGTAGAGTGGGGCTCTAGTGCATAGTTCCCAGCTCAGATGGCTAGGTGCAAGGCACCTTGCTGGCTGGGCAAAAGAAGGGAATGCTTGCTTGTGAGGACAATCACAGAAAGATTGTCGTTGTCTCTGAGCCCTCTTGCCCTTGTCTCCCACAGGTCCTGGTGCTCGATGGTCGAGGCCATCTCCTGGGCCGCCTGGCGGCCATCGTGGCTAAACAGGTACTGCTGGGTAAGTCGCTGCTCGCGGCCCCCCCCCTTGTCATGGGCCCCCGCTGGCGGTCGGTGATGAGCAACATTCACCATCTTTCGTTTGAGTCTCACGGCCATGAGATCAACCCCATGCACCGCTCTGAGACCTGCCAGCCACTATTCCCCAGGGTTGGGGACTCCAGGCTCAAGAAGTGCTTTTCTATTAGGCTAGCTTTTCATTTAAACATGAACTTAGCTCTGGCGAGTACTGCGCTGTGTCTGGAGGGTAACTGCACAGGCGGTGGGAGAACCCTCAGGTGGCTCGGCCCTTCCTAACCCTTTCCCTCCTTCTAGGCCGGAAGGTGGTGGTCGTACGCTGCGAAGGCATCAACATTTCTGGCAATTTCTACAGAAATAAGTGTAAGTTAAGGCCTGGGAGGAGCACTGGAGAGGGTCTCCCAATGGGGTGTTGAGACTGAAAGCAATTCCAGTCGTGTTGGGAGAGACTGCTTGGGGTTTCTGAGAAAGCCCTTGGAAGTGGGGTTTTGGGGGTGCTGGTAGACCGGGTGGGCCTCACACTCTCCCCTCTCCCTAGTGAAGTACCTGGCTTTCCTCCGCAAGCGGATGAACACCAACCCTTCCCGAGGCCCCTACCACTTCCGGGCCCCCAGCCGCATCTTCTGGCGGACGGTGCGAGGTGAGCGGGGCGTGGGGACTGCAGGTGGTGACGGGCAGGCGGCCGGTGATGAGAACTTCTCCCACTCACGTTCGAGTTTCTCGACCATGAGATGACTCCACATGCACTACCATCTGAGGCCACCCGTGGGCCCACTTCAGTGGGGAGGGTGGGCGTCCTTATGAGCCTCTCTAACCGGGCCTGCTATCCGTCACCCAACAGGCATGCTGCCTCACAAGACCAAGCGAGGCCAGGCTGCCCTGGACCGCCTTAAGGTGTTTGACGGCATCCCACCGCCCTATGACAAGGTGAGCTGTGCCAACTCCCCCACAAGGCAGCAACCTTGCCTGTGGCGTCTGTGATGTTCCTCAGTTACCTACATTGTTTGATCCTCATGAAAGCAGCACTGGCTGAGACGCCTGCCCAGCCAACCCCCTTCCCTCTCTGTCCCTCCAGGGCTCTAAGCCCCTCTCTTTCTTTAACAGAAAAAGCGGATGGTGGTTCCTGCTGCCCTCAAGGTTGTGCGTCTGAAGCCTACAAGAAAGGTGAGTCCCAGCTTACGCTGCACCGTCTACTTTGGGGATTTCAGGCCTGCTGAGGGACCCTGGGGCCTGGAGCCTGGCAGATGATGTCCTTATCTCACGATGGTCTGCGGATGTCCCTGCGGGAATGGCGACAATGCCGACGGCTTAGCTGATGCCAGGAGGGTAGGGTGGGTGCTTTTCTAACAG